CCGACAGTTGCGCAAGATCGCAGGAGGCGACAGATGCGCATATCGCAGCCCCCCAGAGGGCGCCGCGAGGAGGAGGAGGTAGGAGGCAGGAGGGAAGTGGGCGGGAGGACGGGGCGACCAGAGTGCTCTATTCAAAACGAGTACCCAACCAAGGGAGGGTTGGGAAAAACAACCAACATTACCCAGGGACGTACCCAACCCTTTGGCAACAGGTGGCATTATCAACTGGAGCTTCCAAAATAGCTGAACATCCGCTGGACGTCCAAGAGGCCCACGAAAGCGACGACCATTGCATTCTTGGCAATCGCCGCGCTTGAGGGTCAAGCGGTGCACTTCGCTCAACGAAGAATCAGCGCCCCGCGCTCTCGAGGGACAGCGCTGCGCACTGCGCTACAGGACGGCGCTGCGCGACCGATCAGCGAACAGCGCTCTGCGCTCGATCCTGGTGTCCACATACTGCCTGCACCAGGGCCGCGCCTTCTTTACCCCCCTCCGCGCTTTCCCATGCCACGGAGAAACAGCGATCCGACGCGAGGTCCCGACGCGATCCGCGTGTAACCCCACTCCGCTGGGCCTCCCAAGAGCCCACGAAAGTGCTGACAGTTGCGCAGTTGGCAGCTCCCCCCGCAGGGAGCCGCGAGGTCCCGACGCGATCCGCGTGTAACCCCACTCCGCTGGGCCTCCCAGGAGCCCACGAAAGTGCCGACAATTGCGCAGTTGGCAGCTCCCCCCGCAGGGAGCCGCGAGGTCCCGACGCGATCCGCGTTTAACCCCACTCCGCTGGACCTCCCAGGAGCCCACGAAAGTGCCGACAGTTGCGCAAGATCGCAGCTCCCCCCGCAGGGAGCCGCGAGGTCCCGACGCCGAACAAGTTCCGCGTGTACCCCAACTTCGACTTCCGCTGGGCCTGCCCACCTGCCCACAAAGTGCCGACAGTTGCGGAGTTGACAGCTCCCCCAGCAGGGAGCCGCGAGGTCCCGACGCGATCCGCGTGTCCCCCCACTCCACTGGGCCTCCCAGGAGCCCACGAAAGTGCCGACAGTTGCGCAGTTGGCAGCTCCCCCCGCAGGGAGCCGCGTGGTCCCGACGCGATCTGCGTGTCACCCCCACTCCGCTGGGACTCTCAGGAGCCCACGAAAGTGCTGACAGTTGCGCAGTTGGCAGCTCCCCCCGCAGGGAGCCGCGAGGTCCCGACGCGATCTGCGTGTGACCCCCACTCCGCTGGGCCTCCCAGGAGCCAACGAAAGTGCCGACAGTTGCGCAGTTGGCAGCTCCCCCCGCAGGGAGCCGCGAGGTCCCGACGCGATCCGCGTGTACCCCAACTCCGCTGGGCCTCCCAAGGCCCACGAAAGTGCCGACAGTTGCGCAATTGGCGGCTCCCCCCGCGAGGAGCCGCGAGGTCCCGACGCGATCCGCGCGCACCCCAACTCAGCTGGGCCTCCCAGGAGCCCACGAAAGTGCCGACAATTGCGCAGTTCGCAGCTCCCCCCGCAGGGAGCCGCGAGGTCCCGACTCGATCCCCCGCGAGGACCCAACGCGATCCGCGTGTAACCCCACTCCCGCTGGGCCCCCACGAAAGTGCCGACAATTGCGCAGTTCGCAGCTCCCCCCGCAGGGAGCCGCCAGGTCCCGACGCGATCCGCGTGTAACCCCCGCTCCGCTGGGTCTCCCAGGGGCTCACGAAAGTGCCGACAGTTGCGTAGTTGGCAGCTCCCCCCCGCAGGGAACCGCGAGGTCCCCGACGCTATCCCGTGTAAACCTCGCTGCCGCTGGCTCCCAGGAAGCCACGAAATTGCCGACAATTGCGCAGTTGGCAGCTCCCCACCGCAAAAGAGACCGCGAGGTCCGACGCGATCCGCGTGTTACCCCCCCGCTGGGCCCTCCACAGGGGCCCAACGAAAATGCCGACAATTGCGCAGCTTCGCAGCTCCCCCCGCAGTGAGCCGCGAGGTCCCAACCGATCCGCGTGTAAACCCGAGAAACCCCACTCGCTGGGCCCCCCCACAGAAAAGTGCCCACAGTGGCGCAGTTGGCAGCTCCCCCGCAGGGAGACCGGAGGTCACGACGCCGATCCGCGTTGTAACCCCTCTCCGCTGGGCCTCCCAGGAGCCCACGAAAGTGCCGACAGTTGCGCAGTCGGCAGCTCCCCCCGCAGGGAGCCGCGAGGTCCCGACGCGATCTGCGTCTCCGCTGGGCCTCCCAGGAGCCCACGAAAGTGCCGACAATTGCGCAAGATCTAGCTCCCCCCCCAGGGAGCCGCGAGGTCCCGACGCGATCTGCGTGTACCCCCACTCCGCTGGGCCTCCCAGGAGCCCACGAAAGTGCCGACAGTTGCGCAGTTGGCAGCTCCCCCCGCAGGGAGCCGCGAGGTCCCGACGCGATCCGCGTGTAACCCCACTCCGCTGGGCCTCCCAGGAGGCCACGAAAGTGCCGACAATTGCGCAGTTGGCAGCTCCCCCCGCAGGGAGCCGCGAGGTCCCGACGCGATCCGCGTGTACCCCAACTCAGCTGGGCCTCCCAGGAGGCCACGAAAGCGCCGACAGTTGCGCAATTGGCAGCTCCCTCCGCAGGGAGCCGCGAGGTCCCGACGCGATCCGCGTGTACCCCAACTCCGCTGGGCCTCCCAGGAACCCACGGAAGTGCCGACAATTGCGCAGTTGGCAGCTCCCCCCGCAGGGAGCCGCGAGGTCCAGACGCGATCCGCGTGTAACCCCACTCCGCTGGGCCTCCCAGGAGCCCACGAAAGTGCCGACAGTTGCGCAGTTGGCAGCTCCCCCCGCAGGGAGCCGCGAGGTCCCGACGCGATCCGCGTGTAACCCCCACTCCGCTGGGCCTCCCAGGAGCCCACGAAAGTGCCGACAATTGCGCAGTTGGCAGCTCCCCCCGCAAAGAGCCGCGAGGTCCCAACGCGATCCGCGTGTAACCCCACTCCGCTGGGCCCCCACGAAAGTGCCCACAGTTGCGCAGTTGGCAGCTCCCCCCGCAGGGAGCCGCGAGGTCCCGACGCGATCCGCGTGTAACCCCACTCCGCTGGGCCTCCCAGGAGCCCACGAAAGTGCCGACAGTTGCGCATTTGGCAGCTCCCCACGCAAGGAGCCGCGAGGTCCCGACGCGATCCGCGTGTACCCCAACTCCGCTGGGCCTCCCAGGAGCCCACGAAAGTGCCGACAGCTGCGCAGTTGGCAGCTCCCCCCGCAGGAGCCGCGAGGTCCCGACGCGATCCGCGTGTACCCCAACTCCGCTGGGCCCCACTAAAGGGGACCGGGGGAAAAGCGATTGCACCTCCCCCCGCAGGAGCCGCGAGGTCCCGACGCGATCCGCCGTGTAACCCACTCCGCTTGGGCCTCCCAGGGAGCCCACGAAAGTGCGACAGTTGCGTATGGGGAAGGGGTTGGCAGCTCCCGCAGCTCCCTCCCCCCTCAAGGAGCCCGCAGGTCCCGACGCGATCCGCGTGTAACCCCCACTCCGCTGGGACCTCCAGGAGACCCACGAAAGTGGCGACAATTGCGCAGTTGCACTCCCCCCGCAAAGAGGCCGCGAGGTCCCAACGCGATCCGCGTGTAACCACGACTCCGCCAGTGCCGACAGTTGCGCAAGATCGCAGCTCCCCCCGCAGGGAGCCGCGAGGTCCCGACGCGATCCGCGTGTAACCCCCACTCCGCTGGGCCTCCCAGCAGCCCACGAAAGTGCCGACAGTTGCGCAAGATCGCAGCTCCCCCGCAGGGAGCCGCGAGGTCCCGACGCGATCCGCGTGTAACCCCCACTCCGCTGGGCCTCCCAGGAGCCCACGAAAAATGCCGTCGCAGAGGGGGTTTCGCAGGCCTCCCAGGGAGCCCGAGGTCCCAAACGCGATCCGCGTGTAACCCCACTCCGCTGGGCCTCCCAGGAGCCCACGAAAGTGCCGACAGTTGCGCAGTTGGCAGCTCCCCCCGCAGGGAGCCGCGAGGTCCCGACGCGATCCGCGTGTAACCCCACTCCGCTGGGCCTCCCAGGAGCCCACGAAAGTGCCGACAGTTGCGCAGTTGGCAGCTCCCCCCGCAGGGAGCCGCGAGGTCCCGACGCGATCCGCGTGTAACCCCACTCCGCTGGGCCTCCCAGGAGCCCACGAAAGTGCCGACAATTGCGCAGTTGGCAGCTCCCCCCGCAGGGAGCCGCGAGGTCCCGACGCGATCCGCGTGTAACCCCACTCCGCTGGGCCTCCCAGGAGCCCACGAAAGTGCCGACAGTTGCGCAGTTGGCAGCTCCCCCCGCAGGGAGCCGCGAGGTCCCGACGCGATCCGCGTGTAACCCCACTCCGCTGGGCCTCCCAGGAGCCCACGAAAGTGCCGACAGTTGCGCAGTTGGCAGCTCCCCCCGCAGGGAGCCGCGAGGTCCCGACGCGATCCGCGTGTAACCCCACTCCGCTGGGCCTCCCAGGAGCCCACGAAAGTGCCGACAGTTGCGCAAGATCGCAGGAGGCGACAGATGCGCATATCGCAGCCCCCCAGAGGGCGCCGCGAGGAGGAGGTAGGAGGCAGGAGGGAAGTGGGCGGGAGGACGGGGCGACCAGAGTGGTGCTCTATTCCAGACGAGTACCCAACCAAGAGAGGGTTGGGAAAAAACTGGCCTAGAAATCATCCCCCTATGTTTGAATATCCCTCCTGTGGAGGGACACGCCCGACTTAAGCTTGTGGATGCCACGACAATGGACACCCTACAAGTCCGATCATTGAATAAAACATGTGTTTAAAATGTGTAAAGCTTGTTCTAAAAATGTTTCAAGCATGTTTTTACATATCTAAAACATGTTTGACACATTGTTTAGACATCCGGAAATTACTTGGCAGCATGCTTCCTCTCCATTCATCGCCCTCCACAAACTTGAGCCCAGTTAGGCTCAACTCGCCCTCCTCTGAGGCAGGGCCGGAGCGCGCGCGCCGCGGCTCTGCGCTCCGCAGTGCGGCCACGAGAGCACGCTCCCGCCGCCGCCTCGGCACCTGCCGCCGGGAGGCGGCCCTGCCTCACCGCAGGAGCAGCACGCGCGCGCCGCGGGGCACCGGGCACAGCCAGGGCGCGCCCGCTGGGTGGCCGACCTCGGGGGAGCCAGAAGGTACCGATGGCGATGCTCCCCCGGGACCTCTCCTGGGGTGCGTTCTGGCCAGAACTCCGAGGCGAATCCAGCCGTGGTGACGAGAGCTCCGCAGACGTCCGACGCTTTTATTCAAGGCGGGGTCTGCGAAGCTCTGGGCCACTTCCCTAGGACTGGTGCTTCGTCCCAGAACACTGTTTGACAGTTCCAGGGCCCCCAGGAGCCGAAATGACAAAAAAAGCAGTCTTGTTTTTGTAAATGCGTTGGAGGTCTGGGCATCAAGGACGAGCGCAGCGGCACAGGTATACCTTGGCCTCCTCAGACGACCTCCTTGCAGCCAGCGGAGGGCCAGCAGGCTTCTCCGAGAGCGCCCTGGAGCCCGTTGGTTTCTTATTCGCGATGATGGCGGTGACTGCCCCTTCCCCCCTCCCCTCCCCCCCCTTAGTCACGTCAGCGCCGGCGCCGTCTGGGAATTAGCCATCTCTAGATATTCCCAGACGGCGCTGGCGCGCATCGAGACGTGACCTGGAGGGGGGCGGGGTCCCCAGACAGCCTCCGATATGATTTTTCCAATCCGCGGCCCCAACACTCCCGACCCCCTCCCCGGGGCCAATGTTGCGTCCCGGAGCCACTTGTGCTTGCCCCCCAAGGGCCCGACGACGGGCCCCGCGGAGACCGAGGTCGAGGAAAAACACACACACCCGGACTGACAAAAATCATGTTGGAGATCTGGGCTCCCCCCCTCCGTCGTCCGTCGTCGCCGCCGCCGCCGTCGTCAACGCCGCCGCCGTCAGCCGTCGTCGCCGCCGCCGCCGCCGCGTCGTCACCTCGTCACCGCCGACGCGCCGCCGTCAGCCGTCGTCGTCATCCATCGATGTCGTCATCGCCAGGCATCTCCCATCGTCACCAGCCGTCAACGTCGTCCGTTGTCGTCATCGTCGTCGTCGTCGTCGTCGTCGTCGTCGTCGTCGTCGCCACCGTCGTCTTCGTCGCCGTCGTCGCCGCCGCCGCCGTCGTCGTCGTCGTCGCCGTCGTCGCCGACGTCTTCGTCGCCGTCGTCGTCGCCGCCGTCGTCGCCGTCGTCGTCGTCGTCGTCGTCGGCCTCGCCCAACGTCGCCATAGGGGATAAAAACGCAGCCGCCTGCTCGAGGCCTCGGCCCGCCGGCAGCGTCCAGCGCGGGGGGGTGTCGCAGCGCAGGGCCGCTGCGGGGCTCCCCTCCTCCACGCCGCCGGCGCCGCCGCAGGCCGCTGCGCCGGCCGGCCGCGGCTGCGGCCAGTCCAGCACGGGAGCCCTGCGGACGCCCTCGGCGGCGGGGCGACGAGATCTCTACACAGACATGACCACCTACCAGACCCACCCCCCAACTGAGCGTTTTCTTCTTCGGCGTTTCGACATTGAGCGAAGAGGAGGGGGAGGGGGGGGGTCTGGCTCCAGACCTCTGCTTCGTGCGACTGTTTGTAACAGTACGGCCTCAGGGGGAGACTCCACCCGCTCGAAACAGGCGCCAGAAAACAGCCAAGATCTACTGCATGGGGGCGGAGGGGGGGGTTCGAGGGCCCGCGCCGATCGGCAAAACAATACACAAAAACGATCACCAATCCAACCCGAAGACCCGAGTTTCGCCCGAATTTCGGATTGGGGGGGGTACGGGCTTCAGAAGTGTTTTTGCAATGTTCCCCGCCCCCCCCCCCACCCCACTGGAAATGGAGGGCAAATCGGGGCCTACGGGTTGGGTTGGGGTGGTTTGGTGGGCGGTGAAGATAGGCAGGTTAGGTGGTTTGGTGGTTGGGTGGTTAGGGGTGGGGTGGTTTGGTGGTTGGGTGGTTGGGTGGTTGGGTTGGGTTGGGTTGGGTTGGGTGGTTGGGTGGTTAGGCGTGCTCGCGTCGTGCAAAGCTCGCGACGGGAGGTCTCTGGCCGTCTGGGAGCTTCGAGGGCCCCCCCCGCGGGGCCCCCCGTGAGGTCAGTCCCCAAGAAACATTTCACAAGACACTCAACCCTGACACCCCACGACGTCCATTGATGCATGGTCTGGGAACGTCACGATCTCCATTGAGAAGCCATCGAAACCCAAGAAACCCGGGGCACCCTGGAGGCAAGCAGGGTGTTTCTTGGCATGGGTCGCCACTGCAGGCTCGATAGATGTGCTCGCGCCGTGAAAAGCTCGCGACGGGAGGTCTCTTGCCGTCTTGGAGCTCCGAGGGGCATCCCCGCGAGGCCCTGTGTAGGACCTGCAGAGAAACAGCTCGCGAGGAGGAACTGGCCCTGGGGAACGTTGCTGGACGCTTTGCGAAGCGCAGCGTGCTCGGGAGCGGGGCAAGGGAGGAGAGGAGAGCCAGGCCCACCACCCCGAGGTTCCCGCTGCGGACCCCCCCAGCCAGGGGATGATGATGATGATGATGATGATGATGATGATGATGATGATGATGATGATGATGATGATGAGGAGGAGGAGGAGGAGGAGGAGGAGGAGGAGGAGGAGGAGGGAGGAGGAGGAGGAGGAGGAGGAGGAAGTAAAGGGAGGAGGAGGAGAGTGGGAGGAGAGGAGGAGGAGGAGGAGGAGGAGGAGGAGGAAGAGGAGGAGGAGGAGGAGGATGAGAGGAGGAGGAGGAGGAGGAGCGCCTCCAAAGGCGGGGAGGGGTGGCGGGCTTCGCTCCCTGAGGGCAGCCACCCCGCACTGAAAGCATCAGGACGTCGCGTGCCTGGGTGCACATCCGCCGCCGCTGGCCAGGCCCATCCGCTGGGCCCAGGAGCGGTGCGGGTGCCTCCCCTGGCCAAGCCACGGGGGGGGCGTACGCGCGGCCTCTGGGCCCGGGACGGGCCTGGCCAGCGGTGATGGATCTGCAAGCCGGGACACCCGCCGATGCGTGCTTTGGTTTCCGTCTGCGGCCACAAGAGGTCCCGACCGCTTCCTCGGGTGCAGCTTCGCGCCCCCTCTCAGTGCTTGATGGCCCTGGGGCTCCACAGCGGTCCCCAGCGGCCGAAATCGAGGACACACGCCCAGGTCAAAAAAAACAGAGTGCCAGGAGATCTGGGTATAGATCACGTCGCCCGACCTCGTGGCCAACCGCCGCCCTCAGCATGGCGCGGAGGCGGCCGTAGTCGGGCCGCTCCTCGAAGCCGAGGCCGCGGCAGTACGCGACGTAGGCCTCCACCTCACGCGGCAAGCCCTCGCACAGCGCGGCGGCGGTGGTGCCCGCCTCTGAGCATCGTCGGGCCGGTCCCCACTGAGATCCTGGCGTCACAATTTTTGTCCGAGCTGGGCGTTTTCCCTTTTTTCGGGACCCGGGACTCTCACAGATCGATCCTGCCCGAAAGTTGATGCAGAAAGATGGGGTCTGGGGCTCCAGGCGTGACTTTTTACGATGCTCCAATTGTGTTTCGCTACGTCGGATTTTAGGGCCTGTCCCCACTGGCGCGGCCTTGGCCCAACCGGCCGACTTACCCACCCAGGCGGGCGGCCGGGGTGAGGGGACCGAACGGTCTTATACCATCCCTGGGTGCGTGTCTGAAGCGGGCTTCCGCGGTGAGGATTCTTGTTGTTGTTATTGTTATTGCTATTGTTGTTGCTGTCGTTGTTGATGTCGAATTCTCACTTATGAAGAAAAATGTTTGTTGATCCCCCCTGCCCGGTGCACATGGCGTTTTCAAAATGAAGTGCCCTCCCAAGGCTCGCACCCCGTTTCTTTCATCATTGTATCCGGGAAAGTCTTGAGCCTCAAACTGCGCCCCTGGCCCCCGAGTTAAAACAACACCACCAACAACAAACATCATTTTAAGACTGCTCGCTCTTCAAGCTCGCGTGCTATTCAACATGTAGATCCAACACCCTCCATACCCGCCCTCTTCGTCTTCGATCGTACCCTTCGATCTGCCACATGTAATTGGTGCAGCCCCTAAAACAAAGGAGGAGAGGACGGATAGAAGGGGGAGGGAGACGGATGGAGCACGAGAGAAATTAGCACGAGAGGGGCGAGGAGCAGAAGACGCGTGGTAGAACCATACGGGCAGATCGGGTGGGCAGACCCATAGCGGGCGGGTCGAAAAGACGGGACCAGGCAACCAGATCGAGGAGGCGGGTTGCTGAAGCGTGGGTCCTGCATGAATCGCGAGGAAGTCTCGAGAGAATCGTAAGAAAGGCCACAGCGAGAGCGCGATTCCTGAGCGCCGAGGGCGCATCGTCTGAATACATTGCGAAGAAGTCCGACGCGAGATATATCGAGATTCTGACATACATTGTGAGGAAGTCCCGCGCGAGAGCGCAATTCTTCAATACAGCGTGAGGAAGTATAAGGCGGGAGCCGTTGTTGAACTCTCACTCTTGAAGAATAATTATTGTTGATCCCCCACCATCGGTGCACATTGTCATTTTTCAATTGAAGTGCACCCCCCGGGGCTCGCACCCTGTTTTTTTGTCAAGGAAAGTCTTCCTGCTCAAACTGGCCCCTGGCCCCCGGGTTACAACAACAACAACAACAACAACAACAACAATCATTTTACCCGAACGCGTGGTGTTCTCCCCAGTGCCAGGGTTTTCATACGACACCAGGCAATACCCCCACTTCGTGGGGGGGCATTACAAGCTCCACCAAATATCCAAACGACTCTTCGCGACCACCCAAACCCAGCTTCCCGCCCTATGACGTTGGGACACTTCACTTCGTGGCGTGCGGACGACCGTGGCTACTACACTGGCGTGGGGTACACACCCACAGAACCCAATGGTTTTTGGAGATTTCGGCGTGCGCGCGCGAAGAAAAAAACGAATGTGTCCCGCATGGTATTATTTGACAGGGATGATGGCCCTGGCAGGTGCGCAACCGTTGTCGCAGAAGTTCGAAAAAGTTGCTCGCAAAAGCCCGTTTGACAGAAATGTTTAAAAGTGTTGGGTTTCCTACGAATCCGCAAGAGCGCGCGGGATGAGATTTTGACATTTTTTTGTTGAAAAACCATTGGTTTTTTGATGTTTTTATGTTAAAATCGCTCCGAACACTAAGCTTTTGGAAGGATTTCGTCTTGCGCGCGCGAATGTCCACTTTACCTTATTTTTTGCAAGGGATTCTTGAAATTTGATTATATTAGAACAAGAAATGTCATTTTATAGTGTTTTTTGCAAGGGAAAGCGGGGGGGAACAAAACAACCGGATCTTGATCACATCGTATTACCTGAGGCTTCCTCACGAAAATGATGAAAATGTAGCTGCGGCCTAGGCGCGGCGGGGGGGTCGTGCACCAGGGGCCCCAACAATAATTATTCTTTAGAATTAATAATGTTCAACAAACAATTACTAGCACGTGGGGACACTCCGTTCTCACCAGTGCCAGGGTTTTCATAGGAGGCGGGCAATACCCCCACTTTGTGGGGGGGCCGGTTCAAGCTCTACCAAATTTCCAAACGACTCTTCGCCACCACCCACACCCAGCTTCCCGCCCTATGACGTTCGGACACTTCACTTCGTGGCATGCGGACGACCGTGGCTACTATTCAGGGCCCCGCGGCCGACGACGACGGCGTGCGCGCGCGAAGAAAAAACGAATGTGTCCCGCATGGTATTATTTGACAGGGATGATGGCCCTGGCAGGTGCGCAACCGTTGTCGCAGAAGTTCGAAAAAGTTGCTCGCAAAAGCCCGTTTGACAGAAATGTTTAAAAAGTGTTGGGTTTCCTACGAATCCGCAAGAGCGCGCGGGATGATTTTTTTTTTTTTTTTTTTTTTTTTTTTTTTTTTTTTTTTTTTTTTTTTTTTTTTTTTTTTTTTTTTTTTTTTTTTTTTTAAAAAAAAAAAAATGTTTTTATGTTAAAAGCGCTACGAAAAACTAAGGTTTTGGAAGGATTTCGTTTCTTGCGCGCGCGAATGTCCCAACTTTACCCTAATTGTGCAAGGGAGATTCTTGAAGTTGGTTATGTTAGAACAAGAAATGGCATTTATATTTTTTTGCAAGGGAAAGCGGGAGGGGAAAAAAAAACAACACGGATCCGGACCAACCCGTTTTGCCTGGACCCTCACGAAAATGGATGTAAAATGTGGCTGTGCGGCCTGTAGGCGCCGCGGGGGGCCCGCGCTACCTAGTCACCATGGTGGCGGCGCGAATAATTATCTTTAGAAGTAATAATGTTAAACCATTCTAAGGCTGTACGCTCTGACTTGCCCGCGAGTCATTCAACACGTATACCCTACACCCTCGATACCCGCCCTCTTCGTCTTCGATCACACCCCTTTCGGGGGGATTATTTCTCTTTGCTGGGGCCGGCGGGCTTAGACGTACGGGCAAACCGGAACGGGCGGACAATCCTTCAGGGGCGTACATCTCTCTGCCCGCCATTGGAATTGGCGCGGGCCCTGCAAGAGGAGGAGGGGAAGAACGAGGAAGAGTGGGAGGAAGGGGAGGGGGAAGGACGAAGGAAGAGGGAAGATACCACGTTGTGAAGGCGTCCTTGGCGCGTGCGTGGTTCCTGAGCGCCGAAACACAATTCCAGAATAATTTGTGAGGACGTCGCACGCGAGAGCGCAGTCCTGAGTACATTGTGAGGAAATCTCGGGCGGGAGCGGGGGCCCTGACTAAGTTGCGAGAAAGTCTCAAGCGGGAGCGCCGTTCCTGAGCAAATTGCACGGAAGTCTCAGGCGGGAGCGGGGGTCCTCACTAAATTGCGAGGAAGTCTCAGGCGGGAGCGCCGTTCCTGAGTCAATTGCGCGGAAATGTCAGGCAGGAGCGGGGGTCCTGAGTAAAATTCGAAGAAGTCTCAGGCGGGCGCGCCGTTCCCACGTAAATTGCACGGAAGTCTCAGGCGGGAGCGGGGGTCTTGATTACATTGCAAGGAAGTCTTAAATGGGAGCGCCTTTCCTGAGTAAATTGTGCGGAAGTCTCAGGCGGGAGCGGGGGTCCTGAGTAAAAATCGAGGAAGTCTCAGGCGGGAGCCGTTGTTGTTGTAGCCCGGGGGGCAGGGGCACAGTTTGAGCAGGAAGATTTTCCTTCAGAAGAAACAAGGTGCGAGTCCCGGGGGTGGCACTTCAATCGAAAAAAATCAATGTGCACCGGTGGGGGGGATCAACAATAATTATTCTTCAAGAATGAGAATTCAACAACAACAGCAGCAGCAACAACAACAACAACAATTACTAGCACGTGGGGACACTCCGTTCTCACCAGTGCCAGGGTTTTCATACGACGCCCGCCAATACCCCCACTTTGTGGGGGGGCCGGTTCAAGCTCGACTCTTCGCCACCACCCACACCCAGCTTCCCGCCCTATGACGTTCGGACACTTCACTTCGTGGCCTGCGGACGACCGTGGCTACTACACTGGCGCATGGGTACAGATGTTTTTCGAGGACCTACGGTGCGATTCGTATGATTTTATGTTGCGCGGTGCTAAAATTCCTAAGAAACCCAATGGTTTTTGAAGATTTCGGCGTGCGCGCGCGAAGAAAAAAACGAATGTGTCCCGCATGGTATTATTTGACAGGGATGATGGCCCTGGCAGGTGCGCAACCGTTGTTGCAGAAGTTCGAAAAAGTTGCTCGCAAAAGCCCGTTTGACAGAAATGTTTAAAAAGTGTTGGGTTTCCTACGAATCCGCAAGAGCGCGCGGGATGAAATTTTGACATTTTTTTTTTGAAAAACCATTGGTTTTTTGATGTTTTTATGTTAAAATCGCTACGAAAACTAAGGTTTTGGAAGGATTTCGTCTTGCGCGCGCGAATGTCCACTTTACCTTATTTTTTGCAAGGGATTCTTGAAGTTTGGTTATGTTAGAACAAGAAATGTCCACTTTAGCTTATTTTTTGCAAGGGAAAACCGATCGTAACAACACAACCGGATCCGGACCAACCCGTTTTGCCTGAGACTTCCTCACGAAAATGATGAAAACGTGGCTGCGGCCTAGGCGCGGCGAGGGGGTCGTGCACCAGGTGTCCCAACAATAATTATTCTTTAGAAGTAATAATGTTCAACAACAACAACAACAACAACAACAACTAACCACAACAACAACGGCTCCCGCCTGAGACGTCCTCACAATTTAGCCAGGACCCCCGCTCCCGCCCGAGACTTCCTCGCATTTTATTCAAGAATCGCGCTCTCGCTTGGGACTTCCTTGCGATTTATTCAGGAATCGCTCCTCCTGCGCTCTGGAGTCGCGCTCTCGCTGGAGACTTCCTTGCAAATTACTGAAGAATAGCGCCCTTGCGTTGGAATTTCTTGC